GCGCTGCAGTGTTGGCAATATTATGAGAACTTATTTGTTGAATAATATAATTTCTAGATGTACAGTCTTAATGAAACTTTTAGAACGTAAATATAATGTATACATGTATGTATATTCCAAAGCAGAAGTCGCTAGTATTTGAAATACGCCTTTTACAAATATTAGGGTGAGGGGGTGGATATTATATTTATATGATTGCCCATTTTCAATGGGTTCAGGGTATAATAAGAATAGAGATTTGGCTGAGCCACTTTAAAAATATTTGTAGCATACTTTTACGGCACTGCAAAAACTATAGATTGGGGGGGGTTTGTTGAAGCACTAAGTTTTAGAGTAGATATACAAATATTAATATTATTATAGTGAAATTTGTATAATATGAAAGCCGAAAAAAATTAATAACCACCTTATCTATTAACAATTAAACTCTTTCTAGTAAGAGAGTTCATATATCATCTAGAGACTAATATGAATAATTTAAATGGAGGATGCATGCACAAATGAAGGTTTGCAATAGACAGGCAAATGCATTGGCCAGACTAATGGCAGCCAGAGCGGGAGCAGCTCGAAGTTGTGGCACAGCTCATATCAGACCGGCGGAAAAATGAACGCGCATCAGAGAGTAAATCAATCACAAATTGGAATATTTGGCTCAACTCTTGTCTAGCACAAACACGCGCATAAATCAAATCAGCGAAATGGCTCGTCACAGGGTAACGGAGGGGTGAGGATGGCCAATAAGCAAGCGACCGACTAAAGAGCTCCCCAAATTGGAGCTCAGCCAGTGGCACAGGAGCAATAATTAGCAAGCAACAAAAACAAGTAACTTGCTTGACTAGGAGATACCCTGAACACTCTAAGCTGATTTTCTAATCATTCTGCACTTCTTTGATGCACACATATGTCCATACACATGCATCCACACGCACGCATAAGCCCGCGCTCTGCTAACTGCGCAGTAAGCAGCGACTGCTCTTGGGTTACGCTAGAGAGTGCGCAATATTATGAGAATTTATTAGTTGAATAGGCACGCCAAATTTCGCTAGCTCTTATATCTTCTGAGATTGACTCAATCATACGGACGGACAGGGATAAATCGACTCAGATCGTCGCCCTGATCAATAATATATGTATATACTTTATGGGGTCTGCGATGATTCTTTTTGCCCGTTACATACTTTTTCCCAAAACCATTATACCCTGATTTCCCAATTTTTGAAATGGGATCAGGGTATAAAAAGAGGCAGTGACACTGCTAATATCGCTGCCTCTATTCGTGTGTGTTCATACGGATTAGGCTGGCTATCCCACTGAACCTTTTGGCTACGACAGCTGACGATGAGCAACGCAGGCAGCGCACCGCAATCTTAGCCAACTGTCGGCGTAACGTAACATTAAAATCATGGCGAATTGCCTGCCGAGCCCGTAAAAAATGGATTTATGGATTTATAATGAAATCGCACTCAGACACACACAAAACCTGCGGCTATCCATGGCATTTCGTTTGTCAATTTATTAGGCTATGTTTATGACAGTTAAAGAGACGCACACACTCACACACGCAGCCACATGCACACGCACACTTCACTTCACACACATGGCTGAGAGCCTGATCAGCTCATCACCAGCTGCCTTAATTTTATTTACGATTTTATGTAGAGTTTTCCCAGCATTTAATGCGGGCGCTGTCAGCTAGATGAATACACACACACAGAGAGAGAGAGAGAGAGCGACTCAAATACAAACACATACACAGCCGCCCACTTGGACTCAAGCTTTCAAATAAAATTCGAGAAAAATAGCAAACAGACTTTTGTCCGTTTGCTGCTGCTTAGCTTTTATGTGAATTTCTTTGCGCGAGTTAATTGCGGGGCTCTCTGGCTGAAGCGCCTGGCCTTTGCTTGTTGGCGGAAATTGAATTGCTTTGCTGGTGGATGCTGCTGGTGTCTGCTTTTGCTTCTGCTAACTGCTTACACCTTATGCTCGCGGCAGACCTAATACTAAGCATATTGCGAACCGTTTGCCTCGCCCACCGACCCGATCCGACCTACTCGCAAGTTTAATCAAAACGAGAGCACTGCGACAGCAAACACAAAACGGCGTTGCTACGCACACACACGCCTCTCGATTTCGTACTCCTGCTCTCCGCTCCTGCTCTCATTACTTACATGGGCGCTTACGTTGCGGCGCAAGCTCTCGTGCTTTCGTACTCTCTGGCAAGCTCTTGCACTCCCTCTCTCTCTTTCTCTCGCTCGCTCTGTCGCTTTGGCACTCGGTTTATATGTGTGCTTCAACTCCCACCACTATGTTATTCACTTGCGAACGCTCCGTTGTAGCGTTGACATTGTTGTTGCTGCTGCTGGATTCTGCTGGCTGCTGCTGCTTCTATCGCTGCAGCTGCTGCTGATTTCGGCCATTTGCCGCTCCCAAAAGTCTGCTTTGTAATTTTTCGTATTGTGCGCGCACATCTTTGCTGGCATCAGCCTCGCTGCTGCGTCAACGTCGCTGCTCGGCTCTTTTCATTCCGATTTTTTGCTTCTGTGCAAATTGTATTATACACAATGCGGGCTGCTGCGCCAACGCTGACGTCGACGCCGCCGTCAACGCTCTGACGCGCTAGCGTGTGTGCGCTGGCCCCCAAGTTTTTACATTCGGTCTGCGCTTAACATTGTAATCAAATTTATGCTTTGGTGTTATAGATACAAATACACAGCGATTTTCTTTTATAACTTTAACTGGAGCTAGTTGTTGGATAACACACGCGCTTACGCGACAGTTTCACCTTGTTAAGAAATTATTTATTTAGCGTGTTTTTCGCTATCAGCCCATAGATAATCGTTGCTCTTTTCACGTTGCGAGCTGCACGCGTTCGCCGCCAGCTGGAGGGCTGAGCTGCTGATGAAAGCCAAGCGCACGTTGCTAAATCTCGTCCGGGACTGAATCTAAAAGCTTCAAGCATATACCTTAACAGTACCTTTGCTGCGAGAGCTACATACAACCCGAATGCGCGCGTTTACTCAACACTCTCGCGCTTTCCCGCTCTCTCTGTCTCTCGCAATTTCTGTGTGTGTGTAACCAGTCAGGAAGCTGCGAGACATGTAGTTGAGGATGTAGGTGTGCCTGTGTGCGTGTATGTGTATGAGTGTGTCAAAGCTGTTATCTTTCGCTTTGTGCTGGAATTTGTGTTTGTTGGGCAACACGGCGAGCATCCTCAGCAACACCCTCAATAATATCCCAGCTCGGCTAATGTGTGTGTGGGTGAGAAAAAGCGGAAAAACTGTTACAATGTGTGTGTAGGTGTGTGTGTTCGTTCGGCATGCGTGTATACACTGCCCGCCATTTAAGCAATGTCCTCTTTAATAAATTGTATGCAAGATGTTGCAACTAGAAAAATGGAAACCAACAATCTAGGAAAGCAGATTGGAACAAAAAACTAGTAGAATTTCTCTTCTAAGATTCCATAGATAAGATCAGATATGTATATTAGTATTGAGAATATGGTTTCGAACAGATATTTTATGGAGAATCCTCAAAAGTCTATAGGAACGCAACTTTCAGATTTCGACTCTATAGCTTTGCAAACGATTACAAAACAAGTAAGAAAGCTCTAGTCGAGACAGCTCGACTACGAGATCCCCTGAA